TTTACATAGTAGCCATATACGACACCCCCCCCCCCCCCCCCCCCGGATGTTTCAGCAAATTTATGTTAAATGACCAACCATTACAAAGATTAAGAGATGATTGTTGAGCATTTGCCCTCTTAATCTTTGTTTTCAGGAGCCCAAATAACCCAGCTTTTACATTATGCAGAAATATGTTCATCTCTCTGTGCTTTGCTAGCTTATTTAGGCCCCTGACATTCCAATAGCCAATACTATCTATTAGGAATGGGGTATCCCCCACCATTCCCATGGTTTGGTCCCACTATATCTTGTTTATCTGCACGGCTAGATGATCTCGCAATGTTTCCATCAGACTTTGTATTCTCTCCATTCCTTTATGCTAGTGCTGCATTGGAGTTCCCTAGTTTCAGAGTCACCTCTTTTGGTGATGCAGTCTTAGTATTTTTCCCAGTTCCTCTAGCAATTGTAACATGGTTATTCCCTTCCTCTGGTCCATTCTTCTTCTATTGTGTCCTCGGTATGACTTTCTTGTCTTTCCTCCTTCATTCCCTACAGTACTAGTAGTACTTTTGGATATTTCCTGCCTACATTTGTTTGCTTTTTGTTGACCATTTTTTTCTTTATTTTGGCCTTGTTGTTCCTTGACCTCTTCCCTCCTCATATATTGCTAGCATTCCTGTTGCTCATGCCCAAAATTGTTGCATGTGGCACAAAGCAATGACTTCCACTCATAGACAACCATTTGCTCTATAATATTTTCATGTTCATTTTCAAACATGACCCTTGATGGGTATTGCTGGTTAACTGATACCTCAACAAGTATTCTAGCGTAGGTAAGTTGCTCCTTATGTGTTGTAGCTATGTCAGCCTTCAATGGATTTCCCACCATGCCTACAATTTTTGTTAGTGCACTCTTTCTCCAATACTTGACCCAATCCCATGAGCCTAACCCATATAGGAATTTTATCAATGGTCTCTTTCTTCATGTCAATGTCCTGTTTTTATGGTTTAACAATAACTGAATTTTTGTCAAACATCTGGCTTCCTTCTTCGATAGTTTTGATTTTACTTTTCCCAGTCTGAAATCGCACTAGGAACACTCCCTTATTGACTAGTGACACTTTGTCAATTCCCTTGTTTTCCCAAATTCTATGGAAATACCCATCCATTACTGTCAATGGAGGGCTAGATCCCAACACATAGCAAATCACTACTGAACTCTGATACTTAACTTTTTCCTTAATATCATCAATTGTAATTTTGACATTTTGTCCGGTCACTTCCTCACTACATAAATTGAATCCTTCAGTTGTAGGTATTGGCCCTACTACTTTACTCATGAATTTATAGTATTTTGTGATTTCCCCAACCCTACTTCCTCCGCTGCCTCTTATTCTACCATATTTGCCCATGAGCTTTTTCACTACTCTGCGCCGAGCAATTCTCATCTCTACTGATCGAATTACGAAGAATTGGCGTGTGATTCATACTGCTTGTGACAATTCTAGTGGTATGATACCTTGAAGTACATTGATGCTTCGTGTTTTCTTAGCATATGCTGATTGCGGTACCTTACCATTTGTGATAGTGGCTTGTCCTTGTTGCTCTCCCCCCACAACTTTCGATTTCCTGCCTACGTTCAACTTTCGCTAAGGAGAAACTTCATTCTAGAGAGACAAAGTCCGATGGTGCCCTTCACCCTTGCCTCTTGGCAATTTTCATTCATAACAACGTTCCAAGTCGAGCTAGGCCGCCACCTAGCAGGGGCGGATCTACACACTAATTTTGGATGCTCGAGCACCCATTAATCTCTGTTTCGAGTACATATAGTTGCATAGAAAATTTGAGGAAACTAATATAAAAAGGCAGAAAGCACCCAGAAGACAAAAGGTCTAATGGGTGCTTTAGTTAAGGGAGGGGGGTTGGAAGTTTACGAAAATTGAAAGGGCGAGGGTTCGAATCCTTCTCCTTGCAAGCCTTTTAAAAAAAACAATTAAATTATTTCTTTTTTTTCCCTCATATTATCAAGCTATTTTTTAGTTTTCACTAGCCATTTTTTTACCCAATACTACTTTTTAAGATTTCTTTTTGCTGACTTTGTTTTATCTCTTCTTACTTTACAAAATCTAATTCACTATAAAGAAAGAAAAAGAAAAAGGACTCTAGAGGTCGACCCTTCCGTAGACGAGCAATTCCTCCTGAAAAGACAAACTCATCAATCTCTTTTGTCGTCAGTTGCGTTATCCATCACAATTTTAAGGCATCCATAATATAATATTATAAGTTTTCTTGTTAACTTTTTTCACCATCGATCGTGTTCAAATAGTTATGCGTTTATATAATGTGATTGATTATAATTTTATATCAGAAAAAGTTAAGCACCCACGAACTTCAATTCCTAAATCCTCTACTGTCACCTAGTATAAGCATGCATTATCTCCCTATATAACAGAACAAGTATTATAACATAGACTTTGATCGTGACATTATTATGCGCACAAGTGAAGAAATTATGGGGGAAAAGGGTACAAAAATAGGTACCAAAAATGTGATTTTACCTTAATATTTGTGTGAAGGGTAAGAAATGGGAGAATATCACGAGAGTTGAAAACTATAAGACTAAATAAGCCCATTGTTATTTTAATCATATTAGCAATTCTTTAAAAGAGAGTTGCTGTACATAACAGTAAGAACTTATCATTTCATTCTTAAGAGCTAAGCCTCGCACCGCGCAAAGAGGAAAGATCGTGGAAGTCTGCAGGTCCTTGTATTAGCAATTTCTTTAATCACAGTCTAACCACAGTTTAAAGAGATTTATATTATTTTTTTGGTGATATTTGTTATCATAATCTGACTTATAAGTCAACCCGACCTCTTTGGTGCACGTGTTGGTCCAAAATCATTTGATGGGCTTTTGATGTCCCGACACCTGGTGTTCTTCTCCTTTTTTTTTTTAATTTATTTTTTTGTTGTTGTAAATTTACCTATTCCGTGTTATTTGTGCATGTTTACTGTACAAATACAAACACAAGAAAAAAAATAAAAAAAATAAAATAAAATAAAAGAAAGGCAGGACGACTCTCTGGCAGAGTTTTACCCCTTCGATATTAAAAATAAAGTTTAATATAATACTATTGTTTCCTTACTATAGTTTTAATATATTTTCATATATTTATATAAAAGATTGTATTTTGCAGTAATTTTTGTAACATTTATGTGTAAACTTTACTTTGAGAATTAACCTTAACAAATCAATTTCGAATTCAACCCCAAAAATTTGACGATTGATCATGGCAAACGTCTAAATTTTATTTTTGGGGGGACAAATATAGTACTCTAGGATTTTTCTAAAAACCTGGAAATTTAACCTCCTTAATTAATTGTAAATGAGTTTGGAGCACCAGACCCCAAGTGATGGGGCGCTGCTTCTGGGCATTGGATATGAATTGCTGGGCAAACTATACTATGGCTGTCTTCTTGTCCCTGGCCTGCTACATATACATATATTCCATTTTTAGAATACTTCATATATATAACCAAATCTCCATGAATAAAAGCAAGTGTACTATATATTAATGAATATAAACAAATTGACATGTTAGTCTCATAGCTAGTCACTAGTCAGAATAGTAAACCTATGCTTTCTTGAATTTTTTTTTGTAATCATTCCCTTGTAGAACTCCATTGCTGTCATCTAACAATATATGAAAAGAAATTTAAAAATTCACCAAAAGATATATGATAAAAAGAAAAAAGCATTATCTTTCTTTGTTTACGAGTATTATGACCAAGCAAAATAAGTGACACTAATAATTTTCATTAGTGTTTAATGTTACTAGAGCTATTTTAAATATATAAAAAAATTATGTTCAATTATCATTTCTCTGATATTCTTACCACTATTGAGCAATTAAAGAAAAAGATAAGGAATCTTATGTAAATGGTCGTGGACCTCGTCCAATCTCAAAAATTAACTTATGAGGTAAAAATTATTCAAAAATCATATACACGTAGTAAGACAAAAGTCTATTCCCTTCACCAAGAGACATAATTCAATGCTTAAAATAAGATCTTGTCTATTGCTTTGTTAATCTTTAGCACTTATAAGGAATGACCCTCTCAACACAATCAAGAAAAGAAAGTTCCACACTGGAATGTGATACGTAATTAGCAACTACTAATTTTACTTAAATTAGAGCTAGATATTTGTGTGATTTAACTAGGAATAAAAGGGTTGTAAAAAAAGTTAAACTCGTGTCGTGGCCATAGCCGTTGGATAGCAAATGGTTTCATTGAGCTAAAATGATTGCCTCAAGATTAGCATTAAGCTTGAATCTCAGCACTTCCACCGCCTTCCTTTTCTAACATTTTGGTCACACTCTCCAATGTGTATATCTTTTTACTAAAAAGGTAAAAATGCGTGGTTTCATTTTTGTCCATATAAGAAGATAGTAGAATGTTTCTTGACTTTAGTTGGTATACATCGATCTCTTGATATTTGGGACTCTTGACTATCGAGACTAACAAACATATATAGCCTCTAATGTTTTGACAGCTTTAAATTGATGAATATAGACGCATATAGTACTATCAAGTTGGATGAAACTAGGGTTTTTCAAGAGCCGTATTTAGGAACTTGAAGGGAAGCAACCCCCACTTCCAACCGAAAGGTTGTGAGTTCGAGTCTCCCCAAGAGCAAGGTGGGATATTCTTGGAGGGAAAGATGCCGGGGGTCTATTTGAAAACAGTCTCTCTACCCTAGGGTAGGGGTAAGATCTGCGTACACACTACCCTCCCCAGACTCCACTAAGTAGGATTATACTGGGTTGTTGTTGTTGTTGTATTTAGGAACTTGAACCAATAGAATTGCTCTATTTAGCCATGGTTTTCCTAACACTCTCTTCTTTATTTATTACTACTACTAGTAGCTAGCTAAGATCTCTCTCTCTCTTTCTCTCTCTCTATTGTTCCATAGATCACCAACTTCATAGTTGATCATCAAAGAGCTTCCTACAAATATGAAGGTTGGTATAATCTAAGCATGGATCTTTAATTTATGGTAATGCAAGGTCTAAAGTAAAAGCTTTTAGAGGTTGTTTATAATTTGGTTGTTTTGTGTTTGCAGTTGTTTAGCTGGATGCAAAATAAGTTCAATGCTGGACAAGGGAACAGATCAATGCCTAATGCAGTTCAAACCAAGAGTAAGCCTTCTTCCACATCTCTTTATAAGAAGAATGTAACATTATCTTCGGCTGCTTTTCGTAAGGGCTAAAACAGACATGCATGAGATATTAACTTATTGTGTTAGTTGTCACACATAATTAACATAGGTTAGAAATAAGATTTTCTCTCAAGAAATGGGAAATTGTTGTCAGAAGCTTGACACGAAGCGTAAAATATATACTCCTATTTATTGTAATTTCAATAGTAAAATGAATTGAAAAATTAAACTCATCATTTAAATGTTGGATATGACTGGTTGTATAGTCTTTGGATGGGCGAGAGATAAAGGGATTGAAACAACGTGCGTAAGAAACCACAATAATAGTGCATGGGGAGTTTGCCTCGATTTGGTACCGCTCTCGCGACCCGCACCGAAACAGTGCTTTACCCCTAGATGTCCAGTCAACTGCTGCGCCTCAACGTATTTCGGGAAGAACCAGCTAGCTCTGGGTTCGAGTGGGGATGTCACTGTGATATATGTACGGACTACGATTCAACCCTAAATTCATGCTTAAATTAAACCTTAAGCTAGCACTAATCTCACTTGATCTACTCCCTATAACAAGAAAATAGTTTGTAATTATATTTGTAAAATTTGCGACAAATTTTAGAACAGGAGTTCAGGGATTCCTAGTAAATCCCAAGTCCTAAAATGAATATGGGTGAGCTTGCTTAGACAACGGCATACAAGTAGGGGTTTGTTCACATGACATGCATTCTCTCGTCAAACACAATGGCTGATATAATCATATGTGTATTTTCCGACCAAGAAGACAATTATTTTCGAATTGGGAGAATATGCTGGAATGTCTCCCTTGATACACAAGAAATTAAGTTCCCTCAATATTTCTTTAATTTACTAACTTCTTGATCTAAGGGGTCCTTTTTAGTTCTTGATTAAACTTTGCCTTAACTAGAAAATTAATTATAGAAGAATTAATCCAAATAACTGCTCACCTAATTTTTTAAACTAAAAATAACCGTCAGATATAATATATGTAAAATTTATGTATAATATGTGTATAAGTGTGTATAATCTATGTATATCGGCTAGAAAAAATAAATAGTGAATCTGGCCGGCTATTTGTGTAACGATCCCAAAATTATATTGGTTAATTTGCTTCTTGCTAACTCGTTTGTTTAACTGCTATTTATTACAGATCAGACAAATCAAGAACGTCCTCGGAATGAAGAATTCAACGGTTGGCCGGATTCGTTATTGGCCATTGGAACATTTGGCACCAACAGCAGTAATTTCAAAGCAAAATCAGAGAGTGCCCAAAACGTGCAAAATCAAGAACGGGATGAAATAATCTTAGATGATAATATTAATGAGCAAAGTTCTTCTCCAGATTTAGCAGAATTTACACCTGAAGAAGTTGGTAAATTACAGAAAGAATTAACAAAGTTATTATCAAAAAAACCAGCTGCTAAATTAATTGATCAAGGACGACAAGATGGTGATCTTCCATTGGATAGATTCCTTAATTGCCCTTCAAGTTTAGAAGTTGATCGTAGGGCTTCTTCCAGCAGATTTAGCAGTACTAATTACTCAGAAAATTATGATAATTATGATGAGGAAGAAATTGATAGGACCATTAGAGCTATTATTGGAAGATGCAAGGATCATGTTTGCAAGACAAATAAAAAGAAAGTAAATGGAATGAAATCCATTTCTTTCCTTCTCAAGAAAATGTTTGTTTGCTCAAGTGGTTTTGCTCCTACTCCTAGTTTACGAGATACATTTCCAGAATCAAGAATGGAGAAGGTAAATAAATTTAAGTTTTAGTTATGCACTATAGTAACTGCTTGTTGTCACTGCTTCTTTTCATCTTTTCTTGATCCGAAGATCTATCGGAAACAACCTCTTTAATTTTCCAGAATAGGAATAAGATTTGCATACAAAGATCCACTTGTGCACTTTTATTGGATTTGTTGTTGTTATGTACAATCAAACCTCTCTATAACAGCCTCGTTTGTTCCGATAGTTTTTGACATCTATAGTGAAGTGTTGTTATAAAAAACATATATTATAATATAATATAAAAATTGTTTCCAAAGAAAAACATGACTTTTATATATAATGAATGGCTGTTATATGAGGATGTTGTTATAGAGAGGTCTAACTGTACCATACTAACACTTATTTTAAGTACATGTTATAGTAGTTCATTGCTCTCTTTCTCATATTATCATATCAGACTTATTGGAGAGATAATTACATGTTATTGTAGGTCAACTTAATCTGATAATATAAAAATTATTTATATTATCAGTGCACAAAACATAAACTCAATATATTTCCACATTTAATATGCATGAGTATGTATCTGGTTATTTATGTCAATATTTGCAATTTTGAAATTTACATTTTTTTTCTTCTTTGAAAACTCATTTTCTTAATGAAATTTTGTCGTTGCAGCTTTTAAGGACAATACTTTCCAAGAAAATAATAAACCCTCAAAATGCAGCTCGAGTATCAACAAAGAGATATTTAGAGGATCGATGTGTACCAAAGGAAGAGGAAGAGGAGAAAAAACGAGAGAAAACTTGTGATGGATCTAAGTGGGTGAAGACTGATTCTGATTGTGAGTAAAAGTTTACTTAATTACTAGCTTTAGATTAAAACAAGCTTCAATTATTATTATTTTCAGATTAATCACTAGTTGACAAGAGTTTTTTTTTTTTTTTTTTTTTTTTTTTTTTGCAGTTATTGTTCTGGAAATATAATAGGCCTGGGATGTTCAAAAAATACTCTTTTTTTTCTTCTTCTGAAGATAAAGAAAATAAGACATAATTAACAAACCATATATGCCTAATTTCGAGGCTCGTTGGCTTTCAAAGATGGAGATGATTTCACAGGCAAATGAATGTGTACAAAGATGGCAACTTGTTTATTTTTGCAGGATAATTCTTCTTAATTTACTCATATTTTTCCATGGTTGTATCCCCCGATGGATACATCACATGTTGTGTTATGGAAGAATTACTCTTGCGATTTGAATTGTACGTTTTTGGGGGGTTTTTTTTCCAGGTGTCTACTGCAAAAATAATCTTTTTTCAGTCTTTTAATTTTTGGTATTGACATTGTTTTTCAATTGGTTAGTATCTATTTCATACTTCCATAAATATTCCTATGAGATTTAATCATTATATGCTTTATATGCTTGTAAAAGGAGAGGTTTTTTCGACTTTGATTACTTTTCTCTCCTCTGCCCACAGTAGCAATTGTTTTTCATGTTTAACAAGAAAAGAGAAAAATCGAGTTAAAAGATTGTTTGCCCTTAAAATTGGATAACAATTGAATTTATACGTGGTTTTACGGATACGTAATATATCTCGATATAAATTTGGAGAATAGATTAATATTGAAATTGACGATAAAAGAATAAATGCAAACTACATGAATCGAATAGCTTTGGCCCTCAAGTTCAGTCACCCTTGAACCAAAGATGTTTCAACTGACGTATGTGTTTGACCAAAAAGTGTTAAGCTTTTTGTTAAACTAACTAATGATGAAATAGAGGGTGAATCCTAGTTAAATATAATAAATTATAGATCTAATATTAGAGGATATTGGCGGGATGAATAGCGTTTGAGAATATTGAATTGCGAATGTATACTCAATGATTATCAACAAATATTATAACATGAACATGCAACAAATGTGGATGATGGAAATAAATGTGATAAGAAGGAATCTATCACCTAAATGTTAGATGACTTGGGTGATTCTTTCTTCTGATAGCAACGTGGAATGATGGAAGGTGAGGATGGATAAGGAATCTTTGGATCTAGCAAACAAAGATTGAATAACGTATGTTGGGGCCAAGTAGTCAGTAAACGAGACAATATTTGTATATTCTTCTTATACAACTCTTTACAAAGTACTTTTATCAAAAAGTGAAGATCCCCCTTTTGTTCTTTATCTTATTCTATTTATAATGGATAATTCCAAGAAACCCTAAAAAGTACAACATAAGGAATATCCAATGGAATATTCTTGTTGTCTATTGTTAAGCTATCCTACCCCGGCCTCCTTGCTTCATTTACTTAGCCTCGTCAATAGTCCTTCTTGAGATGACTCCTCGCCTTTGTGTCGTGGTCGACTCTTTCCTCGACCATATTTGTCTGCACTTACCAAGACGTCCAAATTTAGACCCATACAGTATGAACAAAGTAACAAGATAATAAAAGCTAGAAAATGATAGTATATTGCTTTATATTGCGTAAAAATGATGTGTATTACAAATGATCAGACCCTCCTTTATATAGTAGGGGTGTCCTACTCTTGGTAAAATTCTATACAGGGTAAAAAATCTTATGATTTGCTAATTACTCGGCCCTTCCTTGATATGTACCGAGATTTCCGCCGTGATCCTCGACCGATCGCGGGTATTTTGGCTTTCTGTTATTTGGCTCGGTAAGTTTCCCTCGATCTTGCTCGGTTTTGATCTTGCTCGGTCTCGATCTTGCTTAATCTCGATCTTGATCGGTCTTTGGGCCACGAGCTCGACGATATAATTTCGCATCATGGTTCGATATAATACGAGGTTGAACCTTAACCTATCATATTCCAGTATCGATTAATCATACAAGGGATGAGCCCGGTTTTGGCCGTATATAGATAGTCCCCTCGTTTCTCAGAGAGAAGATGACGAGAAATGATATGAACTTCCGAATCCTGTCTCGATGGGCCATGACATAAATGACGAACGTCACTAATGCATCCGACTATGACATAAGCAACAAATGGATATTGAAACGCCCTGTCGGTCCAGTTACCAAGGTATTAAATGCCTGTTACTTGTTGGTCAGCCACTATGGGTTCTGAACCGTCACCAGCAAGTTATAAGTACTTTAACTTTCCTCTATTCAAACTTTACGTTATTCTTGTTTCTTTTCAAAAATCCCTTTGTTTTGTAACTCTTACACCCAAATTTCTTGAACTTTTAACAAACTGCATACCATTCTAATTCCCTTTTCTTTTGTTCTACAATGGCGAAAACTTCTAAGACTGTACCGTAAAAGGAGGTCGTCTTTTCATCATGACCCGCCGGTGACGGGGCTGCGGCAGAACCTCATCCTGAGGAATTCATTCCGGCAGGGTGCCCTACTGTTGCCGATTTTAAGATTGAAAAGACCTCCTCGGTACCGGGTTGATGTGAGCGGGTCTCGAGGTACATATGTACAATTATCGATGATCTCCTCACCAAGGTTAAAGAGGATTGCAACTGGATCGATAAGCATGTGGTAGTACCTTCGCTCGAGGAATCGATCACTACCCACGTGGAGGGTTTTCTAAGTGTTTACACTTATCCCTTCAAGTTGGGCCCCTTAGACCCTATCATCATTGCTTTCTGCAAGAGGTACGACATGACTGTTGGACAGATCCACCCTTCTTTTTGGAGGATAGCGATTCTCCTCCGATTCTTCGTAAGCAAAATTGAAGGATGTCCCTTTTACCCTCGATCACCTTATGCGCCTCTACAGTCCCCGACTTTATTGAGGAGGGCTGATCAAGCTTGATCGTCGGGCCAGAAAGGCCCTGTTCTCGAGTATAGATGAGGCTCGAGACTAAGGTTGGATGGGCTGATTTGTTCGAATAAAGACTTTAGACCTGATCCCTGGCGAAGACATGCCATTTCCTGAGAAATAGAACACGAATTGTAAGTAATACTTCGCCTTGAATGTTCAATCTTGTTGTTTTACCTCTTATCTCCATCCTTATCGATGTTTTTGGTGTTGCAGCTGTGGCCTAGGTGCTGGACGTAATTCCTGAACTCAAAGAATGGGTCGAGGGCTTTGTGTCACAGAGACCATATTCCGAGCGTGCTTGGATGGAATTATCGAAGGGTCAATGGGAGGCCCGTAATAATGGTAAGTTTTCTCTTTTGATGTAATAATGTTTAGTTCCCTCCTCGTGCAGTTGAATTCTTATCGTTTTGTTTTCTTTTGTAGGTCTCCCCAAAGATGTTGCCATGAGGCCTCCATCTGGTAAGGAGTATATGCATCTCAAGTCCCCTTAATGATGAAAAGAATAGGAAAAGAGCCCCGAGTTCTCCGAACTCGGAAAAGAAGAAACCGAAGAAAAGGTCGCGCAAGCCCAAAGGAAGCACCGGCGCTCTATCCTCGGAGTCAATCCGCCGATTAAGGGACGAGTCCAAAGAAGAAGAAGAAGAAGAATAAGAAAAAGAGAAATCCCATTTGGTGGACCGTGTGCAGACAGGTGTTGTAATGCAAGGGTCCTCTGAACCGGCGGATGCCAAAATCGAACCGTCCTAACATTAGGAGGTCGATGATAGAGTCTTAGACTAAGCTCCCGAACTAGAAGGGGTTGAGGCCACTCCGCCCCAAGCTAAGGGGGTTGAGAGAGAGACCGAGGGCGATGTTTCTCAAGTAGAGGAAGGTATCCCGAGAGACGAGCTTGGGGCGATCGACATTACCGGGTCCCTTCAGATTTCAGACGCCATGATTTTTAAGGCTAGTATTTTAGAAAGTCGTTCCTACTAGGGGCCTCAGAGGGAGACTGACATCCACCACTTCTTGGACGGATTCGAGCCCACTGCTTCAAAAGATGTCATCGGGATAGGTGACTTGCCGGTGCCAAGGAAGGTACTGTCTTCCACAGGGTCTTCATCGAGCCCAAAACTGGTGGATCAATTCCCGACCCCAAGTGTTAACCCTGACCGCAGGCGGTCGATAATTTTTTCTGTCCCGAAGGATGCTCGAATTTTCTCGGCTCCCATGAGGGTTGCTAGCTACCTCGGTTTCCTATAGACCGAGGAGGACCAGGCCGTGATGGACGCGGTGGAAGTTCCTTGCCTATTCAACGAGGCCCAACATGCTTTTAATCGAGTAACTTTGAGTGTCACTTCATTACTTATTTTAAATTTGAAATTGTAAATAATCCTAACACCTTTCTTTGTGCTTGCAGGCCTCGGTATTGCATCATGAGGCTTTCCTCCGATACCGAGAGGAATTAACTCACCATGAGGCCGAGGTTCGGGACCTCACTGAGAAGAGGGACACCTACAAGCTTCTCAGTGAGAAGCTTCAGGCCTAGTTAGAAACGGCTCGGAATGAGCCTGTCGAGATGGCCGAGGAGGTATTTGAGTGCTTCATGATAGTGAAGACGAATTGAAGACAGTGACTAACGATCCAATCTTGCAGGTCTGGCAAAGGCTTGAACAGATCGGGGAGCTTCAGTCACAGGTAGATATGATTCAAGCCGAGGCTGAGGAGTTCAAGAAAAATATAGACTTCTTATTCTCGAAAAGGGAAGTTGCCCAAGCATAACTTGTCACGACCCAAAATCCTCTAAGGGTCGTGATGGCGCTGGACATCACTGTCAGAAAAGCCAACACCAAGAAGTTAATTAAATTCCCATTTTAGTATTTATTGAAATCATTTCTTTTATACATTAACCAATAAATAATGAAATTCACTTAAATAAAAAGATGTTTTTAACAAACTTAATATTGAATAATCTCATAATTATCCCAGAACCCGGTGTCACGAGTGCATGAGCAATTTATAGGATTTAAAATAAAATACAACACAATAACTGTCCGAAATACAATTGGACAGAAAAGAAATACAATATAGTACTCTGAAGGAGACTCTGCTGGTTGCGGGTCGTCTCGAGGAGTGTAGCTCACCTAAGTCTCCATATCGACCATGCTGCTGCGCTAAACTAGGCCACTAGGCATACATGAGCCTATGCAACAAAAATGCACAACAAGTGTAGCATGAGTACAAAAACAACGTGTACCCAGTAAATATCCCGTCTAATCTCGAAGAATTAGAGACTAAGAGTCGGCTTCGACACTTACTAGTGGTCCAATAATAATATATCAATA